GCATGGCTTTATTTCTAATAACTGCATTGGTCTGGAGAGTAATTGCCATGAAATAACACCTGTACCCTCTTACCTAGCAGCTGTGTCAAAGCCAGTATAGTCTAAGAAGTGGCACTGCTTTGAGAGCAGCCAGAACATCACTCAAAGGCTGAATTCCTATTGATTTCAGCAGGGTCAGCGTGGGATCCATTACTGTTTGCTCAGTGGAGTCAATGACTGTTTTTGCTGGACTGAATTTATTGTACTGATCCAGTAAATATTTTCTGCCACTTGTGATACTTAAAGGCTTGAGTGGAACTGTTCTTTCTAATGTGCTATGCAGGCTGGTAGGTTCCACAGTCAGACATGTTTGCAGGACCAGGCTCTTCGTACGTTTAGCAGGCTCTAATTAAGTCTGACCTGTTCCTTCTATTTTAAGATTTATGTTGTCTTTCCAACAGTCTCTCTGCTTTGATATTCCACTTAAAAAAACCCCAAACTCTGACAAGTAAAGGGTGAGCTCCCCCTACTGACCTTGGTGTTGCAGCTCACAAATTAATGCAGAATTAAAAGATAATGGCAAATGTATTCCAACTTTACAGCTTATTTTAACCATGAAAACAACACTGACCACTGTGTACTAATGGGAGGGTAATGGCTTTCATAATGGGAGAGACTGAGCCACGTTAGCACAGCGCATTTCTGCAATAATGAATCTTTGTGCTTTAGCAGAATCACTGTTTTTTCCGATGAAATCGTACAGCCTGTTTTTCTCCTGGAACAAGAGAGTCTTTTCCTCATCTTGTAGAAGTTCTAAGGACATTTAAGTTATGCTCTGTTAACAATATTTGAAAATGGAGAGTTGTAGGAGCTCCTTCATATTCATTAACGGTGTGGAAGAAGCACAGTTGTGAATTTATGCATTTCCCCACCTGCAGTAATAGTAACCTTCGAATCTTCAAAATAGTAACACAGACCATTATGTGCCTTCAGAAATCCATCTCTGCTTCCCTGGATCTTTAGGCATCTAATTGCTGCAGTTGTCTGGAAAGCTTCTAGAAGCAGTCTTTATGTGAGCAGGTAAAAGTTAAAAAGTAGATATGTTTCTCCATGAGTTCCTAGCAATTTTGATGAAAATTCCAAGAATACAGATTTGCCCAAACCTTTAAAGAAATGTTCAAAAAGGGAAGTTGGCTGTTCTGGTAGCTCAGACTGTGACAGGTTATCTAGACTGTGAAAGAATATGAAAATAATATAGTATGAAATTTGATGGATTTTTTTCAAAACAAAGTTTTCCAAAGCAGAATATTTCTGGCCTTCTGTTTCACTGGAGATTTTTATTTTTTTAATTTGCTTTTATAGTTTCATTCAGATGCTCCAAACAAACATATTTCTCACAAAACCAGTGCCGAGTTTTGACCATCTCTTTTAACTAACTTTAAAATCTAATTTGCAGTCCCATAGCTGAGAGTAGTATTGTATCAGCTTTGCCTTGAAGATCCAGTATGGAATAAAAGATGGATATGTTGCAGTCATGTAAAAGGAGTTTATCTTTATTTGCCAGACAGCAGTATTTGTAATATATACCAATACCTAAAACCAGGGTGGCTGCACTAGCACAGGAATTTCAGTAAAGCACTGCAGAAAATCTCAAAGTCTTTATGAAGCCATTTAGGCTCGTAGCTATTGATCTCAAACTTCACAGTACACCATAACTGGAGATGATTTGATGAATCTATCCATTCTTTTAAGAATAACTTAGTGACAGGAGCAGTACTTGGGATGGCTCCAAGAAGAAGGACTGTCACATAAATGTGAAGAGCTGAGC